CATCTTTCTAATATTTTTGGCTTTGGTAAATGTTTTGCCTACATTTGTTGAGTGGGGTTAATTATGTGGATGCTACATGGTCTTTCTAAGACATCCTTGGTTTCCTAACCTCACCCTTAGTTTTGTGGTAATACATGATTGTTTTTGAATAAAAAATATGGTAAATGAGACTGGATTTGCAATGGTTTTTACTCTATACTTAGGTTTGGCAGAATTCAATTTTTTTGAATAATTTTGATGGATGATATAAATGTTCCGATGAAGTGAGCTGTAGCTCACAAAAGCTTATGCTCAAATAAACTGGTTAGTCTCTAAGGTGCCACAAGTACTCCTTTTCTTTTTGCGAATACAGACTAACACGGCTGTTACTCTGAAACCTGTCGATATAAATGTTGGGTTTTTTAAGGCATTTTTTCCTTTTTATCATTTTTTTAAAATGTGCCCAGTTGCAAGAAAATATGGGAGGCAGGCAACAGAATGGGTCAGTCAATTATTTAATGACAGTAGACATTGATTTCAAAAAGTTAAAGCTTTGTAACTGCTAAAACACAAATTGTAAACATCACATGTCAAAATATAAGAAGTAAATATCCTTAAATCAAACTTGAATAAGATGTCAACCAGCATTTTTCTTTCTTTATCTCCTATCTTTATCATTTTTCATCTGTTTTTTTGTGTACAGTGAAATTGATGTTTACTGAAATTTACCAATAAAAATATAATCCTTCCAAGCCTACCTATACTCAGTGTAGCACAGTTCTAAACAATAACTTTATCTGACTTCTCTTGATACAGATTTAGAATACTTCATAACTAAATCTTGTTTTAAAGATGGGTCAAGAAGGCACTATTTAAATCAGATTAGATTTAGCCAAATTTGAAGCCAAGATTTTGGTCCCAGATTGTGGGTAGCTCACAAAGTACACATCCAAACCAGAATAGGGAAAACAGGCCCATCTGCTTTTGACTCAGACGTAGGATCAAAATTATAAAGGCAGGTTCAAAGATATAGAGATTCAGAAATGAGCCCCCTGAAATATGAAGAGGTCCAGATTTGAGCTTCTGGTTGTAGCTTACCTTTACTCTTAATGAAAGCCTAAAACAGCTGGTTGGTGGCAGCCGATTCCAAACATGGGTAACCACTTGGTGGGGAAGGGCCTAGGGTCTAGACTGTGAGTCACATGTGTTTTAGTTTCCTTTAATCAGTCAAAGCCAAACATTTGAAATAAGCTTTGAGTAGGGTATCTACTGTCTGTTCTACACACAGCAAGTTAGCATTTACAAGAAGGTACTTGCTTTGACTTGCATGAATAAGCAATATTTCATAACCCACTTATTTGAAACTGATATTTCTGTGACTACAACTCTTGCCTGGGAGTTATAGAGGCAGTCTGCAAGGAAGAGTTTAAAATTGTGATAAAAAAATTGGGCCACATTATTTTTATTATATTGACCTAAACTTTACAAACCAGTTATTTACCTGTGAAAGTACTGACAGACAGTTCATCTCTTACTATTTGTACCATATCCAGAGACAACAGCCTGCTCAGCCAATTGTTTAACCTCCTTTTTGAAAGATGAAAATATTAATTATTTAGTGATGATCCTTGTTATTAAAAATGTGATGTGTATATTGTGTAGCTTTTGCCATTGCTATTGTATTGGAGACTCTGCAGAATTATTGAAAACATTTTTTTTCTCTCAAATTAACACTGTCCAAAAAGAAATGAAAAAAAAATAACTAGAAATACGAACTGACTAATTCCCTTTTAACTAGCTCCTTCCAGTTCAACCTCCAGAATTTCTTCACTTTTTCTATTCTGCCTATGTTTTCAGCAAGTACTTCAAAGACCTAAATCTGTTTTCTTTACTCCTCTCAGACAGATCCCAGGCAAACTCCCTCTGTTAGCCTCTCTGCTGTTCGCTGCTCCTAATAGCCTTCTATGGCGAGATAACTGGCTCTGTGGATGAGGGGAAAGCAGTGGACGTGTTGTTCTTGACTTTAGCAAAGCTTTTGACACGGTCTCCTACAGTATTCTTGCCAGCAAGTTAAAGAAGTATGGGCTGGATGAATGGACTATAAGATGGATAGAAAGCTGGCTAGATTGTCAGGGTCAACGGGTGGTGATCAATGGCTCCATGTCTAGTTGGCAGCTGGTATCAAGTGGAGTGCCCCAGGGCTTGGTCCTCGGGCCGGTTTTGTTCAATATCTTCGTTAATGATCTGGAGGATGGTGTGGATTGCACCCTCAGCAAGTTTGCAGATGACACTAAACTGGGAGGAGTGGTAGATACGGTGGCAGGTAGGGATAGGATACAGAGGGCCCTACATAAATTAGAGGATTGGGCCAAAAGAAATCCCTGATGAGGTTCAACAAGGACAAGTGTAGAGTCCTGCACTTAGGACAGAAGAATCCCATGCACTGATACAGACTAGGGACAAAAGGGCTAGGCAACAGTTCTGCAGAAAAGGACCTAGGGGTTACAGTGGACGAGAAGCTGGATATGAGTCAACAGTGTGCCATTGTTGCCAAGAAGGCCAATGGCATTTTGGGCTGTGTAAGTAGGGGCATTGCCAGCAGATCGAGGGACGTGATCATTTTCTTCTATTCGACATTGGTGAGGCCTCATCTGGAGTACTGTGTCCAGATTTGGGCCCCACACTACAAGAAGGATGTGGAAAAATTGGAAAATGTCCAGCGGAGGGCAACAAAAATGATTAGGGGTCTGGAACACGTGACTTATGAGGAGAGGCTGAGGGGACTGGGATTGTTTAGTCTGCGGAAGAGAAGAATGAGGGGGGATTTGATAGCTGCTTTCAACTACCTGAAAGGGGGTTCCAAAGAGGATGGATCTAGATTGTTCTCAGTGGTAGCAGATGACAGAACGAGAAGTAATGGTCTCAAGTTGCAGTGGGGGAGGTTTAGGTTGGATATTAGGAAAAACTTTTTCACTAGGAGGGTGGTGAAACACTGGAAAGCGTTACGTAGGGAGGTGGTGGAATCTGCTTCCTTAGAAGTTTTTAAGGTCAGGCTTGACAAAGCCATGGCTGGGATGATTTAGTTGGGGATTGGTCCTGCTTTGAACAGGGGGTTGGACTAGATGACCTCCTGCGGTCCCTTCCAACCCTGAAATTCTATGACACATAGTCTGCATCTAGGATAGATTATCTGACTTGTGAAACATTTCAGATGCTCTAAACAAACGTTAATCATTGTGACACTCAATTGAAGAATCCCCATAGTAATAACTAGATCCTTGAAGGGCCTGCCTAGGGCCTGACCTAGACTCAGTGAGAGGCTTTGCATTGACTTCATGTGGTTTTGGATCAGAACACTGGTGAGCAAACTCTCCAGTACAGAAGAGCTTTATTGAAGGCGATTAGGCATTTGCTCTTTTGGAAGTGCCTTTGAGTGACCCAGACTTTAGTGATGTGTCAAAGCAGCAGTGGGCCTACACGAGAATAGCAATCTAAAATGAATGGTCCTCAAAACAGGAATTAGCAGACCAAATTGAAGGACTTTTGTCCATTTTTGAGAAACAGACTCAAAATTCTGAAATGTTTGGGTGAGGTTTCTTTGGCTCTGGTTTCTGTCTGGAATCAGAACTGGAACTGTCAAAGTCCCTGTGATAAATGAAAGGGGGGGGGCTCCCTTTTATGGACACCCAGCCAGCCAGCCAGTAGCTATAAAATCCTTCTTAATAGCTGTTCTCTAATTGCTCTACCTGTAAAAGGTTAAAAAGTCTCACTGTGATGCATAGGTAAAAGGAAGTAGTGGGCACCTGGCCAGAAGAGCCAATGGAAAGGCTAGAACTTTTTAAAATTGAAAAAAGACTCCCCTTTTGTCTGTCTGTCTGTTGTTCTCCCAGGGAGAGGCAGTCAGGGCCGCAGCTATGCTGTAAGAAGCTTGTGCCAGGTATGAAAAAATCGTCAGTATTATACCTAGAAACTACTCGTTTAAAACCCCAGATATGTAAGTTGATCAGGAAATATCTAGGAAGATGCAATTAGGTTTATTCCTTTTATTTCGTTATGGCTTGTGGATTCTTCTGTGCTAACCCCAGGTGCTTTTGTTTTGCTTGTAACCTTTAAGCTGGACCTCAAGAAAGCTATTCTTAGTGCTTAATCCTTGTAGTTGCTTTTTTAAAATCTAGCAATAGCCTGAGTTCCCAGATGTATTTATTTTCTTTTTTTTTATTAATAAAATTTACCTTTTTTAAGAACAGAATTGGATTTGTGTGTCTTAAGAGGTTTGTGCACATGTTGCTTAATTAGCTGGTGACAACAGCTGATTTCCTTTTTTTTTTCTTTGTCAGCTCGTCCCTGGAGAGGGGGTGAAAGGGTTTGAGGGTACCCCACAGGAAGGAATTCCCAAGTGTGCCCTCCTGGGGTCTCAAAGGAGTTCTACACTTGAGTGGTGGCAGCATCTACCAATCCAAGATCAGAGAAAGTAGCTGTAACATTGGGAGTTTAATACAAGCCTGGAGTGGCCAGTATTAATTTTTAGAATCCTTGTGGGCCCCCACCTTCTGCACTCAAAGTGCCAGAGTGGGGAATTAGCCTTGACAGTTCCATAAGAGGGGCTGAACTCAGAGTGTTCCTCATTGGAAGAAGTACCAGAAATTTCATTTCTGAGACTGGGGAAGAAATTTCTTATGAAGAAACTCAAGGGATTCAGCTTGTTTAGATAAGCTTCAGATAAACAGCCAGATTTTTGCGCTTCTGGACCAAACCGAAGCCCTAGCGCATAGACACTATGGTGAGTGAGGCTACCTGAATACTTCAGTTATAGCACTAGTCTATATGACACAAAACCAGTCTTTGATCCAGATCCTCAACTGGTGTAATTTGAGGTAACTCTATTAAATTCAGTGGTGGTGTGCTGATTTACACAACCTGACAGTCTGGCCCTTTGTGTTTTAGTAACAGCTCTAAAGTATTTCATAATTCTGCCCTATGTTGATTCTGATGACTGAAGTATCTGTTCTCATTTATTCCAGGAAATTTACCAGTGGTGTGGCTCAACATGCAATAAATTTGAGCGTCTGAAAGCTGCTCAAGTTGCTGTTGGCATTCGGGACAATGAGAGGAATGGAAGATCTCAGCTAATTGTTGTAGAGGAAGGAAGTGAGCCAAGACAACTTACAAAGGTATTGTAAATGTATTGCTGGTTCAAATACACTGTTATCCAGACTTCTGGGCATGTCCTGCCGCCATAATACTTCACCTCAGGATATGTCATCAGATCTCATTATCTAAGCAGGACTGGACCCAGTCTTTACATAGAGAAGATCCTCACCGGACACCCATCAACTTCATTGCTCTGTCGTAAGAGTGCTGTATACACAACACTGCTAGGTGCTCTTCCTTCTCAGTCAGGACTGAGCTAGTGCCCCAGCCTAGTGCTATGAGATGATTTACTCCCTTTATGTGCTGTCTTTCATGGCCCCCTTTTTGGAAAAGTAAGAATGTTAGCCCTTGTGTCTTGAACAAATCCCAGTGGAGTAATTACATTCGACAAACATAAATTCATCCAGCAGTTTCCCTAGCAAAGTTATTCCTTTCCTCTCCTAAATAAACAATACTCATATAGGGTTTGGTCCTATGGTCTTTGAAGTCAATGGCAAAGCTCCCTCAATAGTGCAGGATCAGTGCTAGATAGAGTGGTGGGGAAGTTTATGGAGGGGAGAGATGAGTGGTGGGAGTGCCTTGAAAAGCTTGTGAGAGAACTGGTGAAGGGAGTGTAACAAACAAATTGAAGGACTTGGGAGGGAGGACAAAAGTCCTCGTGCATTGCTTTGGAACATCACAGCTATTAGAAACACCTTTGTACTATGGAGCTAGTCCATGGGGACTTGAGTAAGTCCCCTTTTATTCTATATGGCAAAGTTATTTTTCATACACAGAGATATTTAAAATAATAACACAGACTTTGAATACAGTCATATGTAAAAAGATTATCAGCTGAGTCAGGTCATGTCTACACTAGGGGGACTGTACTGGCATATCTACAGCACTGGAGCTATTCTAGCATGACCCATAGTGTAGACACAGCCTGTACCAAAGGAAGAGGTTGTTCTGTCGGTGTAGTAACATCACCTCTCTGAATGACAGTAGCTTGGTTAAGGAAAGCATTCTTCTGTTGGCCTAGCTGCATCTACACCAGGAGTTAGGTTGACATAGCTACGTGACTCTGGGGTTTGGATTTTACATACCACTGAGCAATGTCCCTGTGTTGACCTAAATTTTAAGTGTAGGCCAGGCTTCAGGGCCTGTCTACACTTGAAACGTGACAGCACCCCAGCTGCAGTGCTGCTGCTGTAGCGCTTCAGTGTAGGCACGGCCTCTGCCAATGGGGAGGTTCTCTAACTAGTGTAGGTAATCCACCTCCCCGAGGGGTTTGATTGATGGAAGAATTTGATCTCGCACGCTCTACACTTGGGGTTAGTTGCTCAGAGGTTTGATGTAGCCTCAGTCTCATTTAACCAGCCATTATAGGCTGGCTCCATGCTCCAGCAGAGTCGGGGGGGGGGTTGGGGCTGTAAAGCTGCAGGGTGTGTCTGGGGGGTCAGGGCTCTGGATTGAGGCAGGGGTTTGGGGCTTCTGCCCTGCAGGAGCACCAGGGCTCAGGGCTTTGGACCAGAGGGAGCACTGAGGCTCAGGGCTTCAAACCTACGGCTCCGTTCCCAGCTTCAGCTTGGTGGGGGACACACCATGGATTGGGGCTTCAGCCCCGGGACTCTGCTCCCAGTTTCAGCCTCGCAGGGGGTGCCAGGGATCAGGGCTTTAGCTCTGAGGGGGAGTGCCGGGTTCAGCCCCAGCACTCGTCCCATAGTTAGAGTCCCGGTGCACACCCTCCCCCACCCCTGGCAGAAACGGGGAGCAGAACTGTGGGTCTGAAGCCCCAATCCCTGGCACACCTTGTGGGGCTGAAGCTGGAACAGAGCAGCAGGGCTAAAGCCCCGATCCCCAGCACTCCCTCCAGGTCTTAAGCCATGAGCCCTGGCGCTTCCAGGGGGAGAAGCCCTGAGCCCCCTGTCGGGAACCCTGGCGACTCCCCCTCCCCACCTGGAGTCCTGACCCCCCTCAACCCTACAGCTGCAGCCCCAATTCCCCCATAGCAGAAGTCCGTAGTGTCTTGTTCAGCGTTACAGACCATTTCAGAGTTACGGACAATCTCCATGCCTGAGGTGTCTGTAACGCTGAGGCTCTACTGTACTTCCCCCTCTAACTAGGTGCAGATCAGGTGATGAGAGGTGCAAGTGTCCCGATGTGCACTTTCAATTCGTTTTCAAATTGCAAAATTGCATGTGGATACTTTGGACATACAATGCACCTTCAGAAAGGGAGGCCACATCTCCTCTACTTTGAAAACATGCCCCTAAAATAATTTACTTTGAAGTCTAATTTGCCTCAGGGGCAAAAGGCACAGAACCTGTTCTGCTCTATTGCTTAAACAATTATTGCTTACAATCAGCATGACAAAACAGTGGTGCACCAGAAACAGTCTTCATGCACACTCCATTAGTATTGCTTCATGCAGATAACATGGGGCAGAAGACACGCCAAACCAGAAATTAAATGTGCCTATTCCATTTTGCTGAAGAATTATTTTATGTTCAACGTTTTGCTCCTTTCCCATTTTGGAGGGGGTGGGGGAGAGTCTGAATGGGAAAAATTGATTTAGAAACATTAATAAATTCCAAGTGTGTTAGGAGGTTAGTATGTGAACTGTAACCAGATCACAATGTTGGTCAACATTTTTCAACTGTTGAAGATTCAGAAAACAGGGGGAGGGAAGGGGGCGTGGCATTTCTGAAGGAAAAATTACAAATCTGCCCCTCCCCCACTTTTAAAAATCTACTCTAGAGCTGGTTGAAATTGAGTAAATTTGGTTTTTTTTGTTTTTTAATAGGGTTCCCATCCCTTAAGCAATCCCCCACCACCACCCTACACACACACACGTGCACACACACACACACACGTCCATTTTCAACTAGTTCAGGACTTAATACATAGTAGATATTATAAAGGAAAAGTTACACCCATTCATCATTAAGGCGTTGAGGGCCCTGATGAAGTGTCACCTCTCTGCTCCACTGTGATGCTCAGGAATGCATAAATCTGTGATATCCCAACTACTAGACTATACAGTATTTGCTTCTTTTTTTTTTTGTCTGCGCTGCTGCCTGATTGAGGACTTCCGGTTTCACAGGGTGTCTGGTTGACTGGTAAGTCCGTAACTCTGGTGTTCGGTATCTTTGAAGAAGTCCATGGGGTTGTGTGGGTGGAAGATGTTACAGGCTGAGACACGGATCTCATCACAAAGCCCTCATTCAGCTGTGTGGTTCTATTAACACGTGTAAACTTCCTGGAACCTATAGTGACCTACACAGGTGATTAAAAGGACAGGGAAAATGCCACAGTTGTAATTTGATTTCCCTGTCTTGGAAAATATTAGTGAATAATGATTTTCGTTACTTGCCCAGCAACAATGGAGGGAAAGTTTCAGCTTTTCCTTTCTTACGAAGGTAAATATTAAGGTGGGAGACTATTGGTGAGTTAAGTGAACAGTGTTTATTGCTCTGATTGCTCACCATTGTGACAACTCTTCTCCTGTGATCAGCAGGACCAGGGAAGTTCTGCGGGCAGTACTTCAGGCGGCAGGGGTGGGAGTCTTGTCTCAATAAAGAAATATGGAGCTGCGCCTGCATGCCTCCATCGCACGCCCAGTCATTGCAAGCTTTAGGGAAATGTGCTGTCATATCGCTACTAGGCCCGGAGTTCTCACCACAAATGTTTCAGTGGCCCCAGAGTGCGGCCACCAAATCTTGCTGGTTGCCACTATGACAGTTTTCTCTAAAATAATTAATTTAGGACAAACAAATAAATATGCCCATAAACATGTCCAAATCATAGTTATTTGTGTAGGGTTTTTATTTGTACACTCAATGATAATAATAATTAATGTACAGTTATCTCTATTCTTTACTGGACCTAAGCAGAATAGAAACACAAATAAGGTGTTTTGCATGTTCTTATCTTGTGGTGGTGGTGGTGGGTGTTTTTTTTTGTTTTTTGGGGGGTTTTTTTGTTTTTGTTTTTTTTAGACTTGCTAGCTAGTAAGTCTGCTCCTGTGAAAAGTGATATTTGTATATTTGTTATCTAGCTCTGAAGCAGTGATGAGTGATATTTACAAACATATACATACCATTTTTCACAGCAGACTTACTCAGCCCTGGCAAGCTGGGGGACAAATTAAGCCCTGACGGGGAGGTGGATAGGGAGACAGCGGGGGCCAAGGGTGATGAGGTAGATAAGTGAGGGGCTGAGGCAGCAGTGTGGGCCAGGGGTGGTGAGGGGGGTGGTGAACCCGGAGACTGGGGTTTTGCCACTGCACAGCAAAAACCCAGAGCTGAAAGCCCCATGGTCAGAGCTGGCCACCTGGTACCCGCCACCCCAGGCTTGAAGCCAGAAGCCTGAGCCCCACCTCTCCTGGGAAGGTGGGGAACTCACACCAGCTGTCTGCTCCTCTGGCGCTTGTGGCTCCAAATGGGGGCAGGGCCCAACCCCTCCTTGCAGCCCAAGGGAAGGAACCACTGCTTTGCCCCTACCCTCACCTGCAATCACTGCCCAGGAGGCTGTGGCCACAAGAAAAGCCCCTGGTGGCCACATGCGACCAGGTGGCCATATTTGAAAATGCTGCACTAGGCCATCTCTCCTCTTTCCTTCTTTAAGCATCTGTCCCCTGTTGTTGCCTTTTTGTTTGATCTTTTGTGGCTTACCCTTGTTCTCCATGAAGCCCCTTTGCTTCTGCTCATAAGACTTCCCTAATGCTGTTGGGTAGATCGGAAACGTCATTGTATTTATTCACTTTGGTGTCAGAGAAGTGGCATGGGCTGGGGCAGAGGAGGGTGCCACCCATTTCCCTAAAACATAAATTATAAAATGAGTAGGTGGGAAAAAGTGAGATTCTCATGATCCCGTACCAGAATGGAACTCCTGAGGGGGTTTTCTCCCTTGGATGCAGGCACATGGCTCTTCCTGTTGCTTGTGAACACTCGCAAATAGATGCTATTCTGGTACGCAGTTTTTCTTGCTGATAAGATGCCAGGCTGCTGCTATATAAGTACATGTTTGCAATGCAAAT